GTGCTGGGCCCAGTCCTTTTTAACATCTTTATCGATGATTTGGATGAGGGGATTGAGTCCATCATCAGCAAATTTGCAGATGACACCAAGTTGGGAGGGAGTGTCGACCTGCCAGAAGGCAGGAGGGCTCTGCAGAGGGATCTGGATAGACTGGAGAGATGGGCTGACTCCAATGGAATGAAGTTCAACAAGGCCAAGTGCCAGGTCCTGCACTTTGGCCACAACAACCCCATGCAGCGCTACAGGCTGGGCACAGAGTGGCTGGAGAGCAGCCAGGCAGAAGGGGACCTGGGGGTGCTGATCGCCAGGAGGCTGAACATGAGCCAGCAGTGTGTCCAGATGGCCAAGAAGGCCAATGGCATCCTGGCCTGCATCAAGAACAGTGTGGCCAGCAGGAGCAGGGAAGTGATCCTTCCCCTGTACTCTGCATTGGTGAGGCCACACCTTGACTATTGTGTTCAGCTCTGGGCCCCTCAGTTCAGGAAGGATATTGTGGTGCTGGAGCGGGTCCAGAGGAGAGCAACGAGGCTGGTGAAGGGACTTGAGCACAAGTCCTATGAGGAGAGGCTGAGGGAGCTGGGGTTGTTTAGTCTGGAGAAGAAGAGAAGGCTTAGAGGTGACCTCATCACTCTCTTCAACTACCTGAAGGGAGGTTCTAGCCAGGTGGGGGTTGGTCTCTTCTCCCAGGCAACCAACAATAGGACAAGGGGACATGGGCTCAAACTCTGCCAGGGGAGGTTTAGGTTAGATGTTAGGAAGAAATTCTTTACAGAGAGGGTAATCAGGCATTGGAACAACCTACCCAGAGAGGTGGTGGATTCACCATCCCTGGAGGTTTTTAAGCAGAGATTGGATGTGGCCCTTAGTGCCATGCTGTAGTAATTGGAGTTGGATCAGGGGTTGGACTTGATGATCTTGGAGGTCTTTTCCAACCCAATCTATTCTATGATTCTATGATTCTATGATTCTATGAATCTCCCCTTGAGATGGGATGTCTCTCAAATTTTGAGATTCCTTACCTGAGGTGGAGAGACCCTTTAATTCACAACAGATCCTTGACTGATCAGTGACTGATAGCATGCTGAATTAATACTAATGAAATCCATGTAGCTAATTCCATTAGACATAAACTGTCATCTGATACTAAAATTGGACCTAGTCGCACCTAAGCTCTGTCAGGAGCTTAGAAAGCAAGGAGGTCCACTCTGAACTTCGTGACTCAATGGAAGGGTTTCCATTACCCTTTTGCATTTTTGGTCTCTGTGTAAATCATTCTAGCTCAATTCTAACTCAATTTTTCTTCATATGTTTCATCCATGTGTCGTGGGTTTGCTTTGGGACAATTTTTTCTCTCACCCCACACACAATTGCTAGAAGTTGAGAGAAGGTTTATGCAGACAAAAGAGATCTGATGTGGGGAGAATAATATTAGGATTTATTACTTATCAAGATAAAAACTAAAGAACTATATATACAACAATTCTAACTAGGCAAAAGTGCTTTGTATTTATAGAAATACCCCTCCCCCCTTTGTATCAGTTCAGGAGGAGAAGTAGTCTCCTCTCCACTTCCAGAGCCACAGGTCTTCCAAACAATTTTGCAGTACTCAAAAGTTCCTCCTCTATTATCTCTAGGATGACAGCTCTGACTCGTCGCAGCTGGAACTGTCTCTCACTCTCTTCTATGTTGACCTCAGGGCTGGGCCTACCCACCCCTGGGCTAAGACCAGAGGCTGGGGGTTACCCAGGCCCTGTGGGGTCCTCCATGGACTGCAAGGGGACACTTGCCTTAGCATGGTCTTCACCACAGTTACAGGAGATAATGGCTTTTGAGTCCACCCCTGTTTCTTGTGGGGTCCCTCCTCCTGAGAGACAGTCCTTGATGGACCTCTCTAGCGTGAGTCCACCTT